TTTTTGACTTAATGTGACTAAATTCTGCCCAACTTGTTCTAGATGGCATTTCCCAATATTGCCCTAGGGCCTTAACTTTTTGGAATAAACAGTCCTGACTCACGCAGGGCTGTGACTCAGGCGATGGCATTAAGGAGTTAGTTCCCGTTTAAGTTGCTCTCTGCATAAGCAGAAAAAAGAACAGGTCTAGTTCAGACTAAGGGGTACAGATGAGTTGCTGGATGGGCTTTGCTGAGTTTACGTTCAACCTGAGGTTATAGGCTCATATTGAAAAAAAAGTATGCATTTTGTGCCTAGTTTCATGTGGAGTAGTGTTACCCATGCCAATTACTTTTCAATTTGGGCAGAATTTCGTTGAAGAGATGAGACTTGAAACGCAACTAGAAACTGCTACTCACATCTGTGAAGATTTGAAAAACAAAAACATAACCAATCCTGACTTAGGTAAGTTCGTGCAGATAAACTGATACAAAGACCTCTCTTTTAAACTGACGTGCTGTCACCAGTTTTAATTCCTACTTAAGTTTTATGTAAAATACTGCTTCTGTGTAATTAACTTCTCTGTTTCCAAATGTATAATGGTATTCCCTGTTTGATGTCCTAGCTGGAGATCCTCAAGAAATTAACAGACTTTTAAAGACAGTGGAGTCAAAGATTTCTATGTGCAGAGACTACATTTCCAATGTAAATACCACCCTAAAGAAAGTCCTGTCTTCCTGGAGTAATTACACAGAAAACATCCGCTTACTAAAGACGTGGCTCGAAGAAAAACGAAATGAGCATCCGAAAGAGGTATGTGGTTGGATTTCTCTTTGTAATGACAGACAGAGATACTTGGAAGCCTCCTGGAAGGAAAGCATTATACATGGTGGTGATTGTTGTTGCTTTTCTGTTCCTCATTTTGGAAATAAACTTTTGGCAGGGTTCTGCTTTAAATGATTTCAATCTCTGTCTAGATCCCTGCTGAGATCCTGGCAAAGTGGAGTTCGGTTCATGGTTCTTTAAATGAAGCTGGAAACTATCTCATTGAGGTCAGCAAAGAGCAAGTTGGATCAAATATTGCCAAGGAGCTGAAGAAACTGAACAGGAGATGGGCTAAGTTCATCAAGAGGACACAGTTTGTAAGTTACTAATTTCATATGATATTTTTGCCATGCAGCCTTCAAAGCTGTATTTTCTAGACTTATCAGCCTGCTAATCAGAGATTAATAAATCTTTCAGTCAACTCAATATTGCCAGTTTTAAAACAGGAGGAACAAAGAATACACAGAGGCATCCATTCTTAAGTCTTTGTCACTCAGTTAACTGCTCTTTATGACATGGTGGAAAATGCTCAATTTTTTAAATGGAAATTTTAAAACCACTTATAAAAGGAAATCTTATTCCAGAATAAAGCTCTTTATTCAGTTTTAGAAATGGAAGGAATCATTTTGTTAAGAGCTTGTGAGCCTTTGCTAAATTTTGTAATCTCTGCCTCAGCTAGTACAAAGTAATTATTGCTGCATGGATATTTCTAGGGTTGTGCAACTTTACACTAGATCACTTGACAGGTTTTTAGGCTGCTTTAAATTCCTATACAACCTGCTTAATGTTACGTGTATTACATTTCCTAGAATGCTTTCACAACATTTGCACTTTGCCTGGGAATATTAGAGCTCTTAATTTTCTAAGTTTGAGTGTTTCATTGACATTTATTAAAGGTACTGCTGTGACAATAAATGGTGGCAAAAAATTACAGTATTTTTGTAGGAGATGAGCTTAGTGAGTGTCTTGGTTTGAAAGACAGGTGCCTGCTGA